TCAGGTTGTTTATGTGTGTGTGTGTGTGTGTGTGTGTGTGTGTGTGTGTGTGTGTGTGTGTGTGTGTGTGTGTGTGTTGTGTTTTATATATGAGATCGGATTTCTTACATTTTCAGCCGATAAAACAAACATCAACTTTTTTTTTTTCGGCAGGTAGTATTTTTATTGTCTTGCACACTTTTTTTCTTTATTTACATTCAGAATGCTTTAAAAATTCCATTTACAAGACAATTGTTTATAATAAAATTCTATTCACCAATCGATAGACTCATAACGATTGTAAAAAATGTTTTTGTTTGAATTTGGGTTTGACCAATTCGTAAAAAAAAAAAGAAAAAATGAAAACTAATTAAGACATGTGTGTCCGTCAACCTTAAACAATAATCTTTGTCAATTTTATTTTTCAGTCTTTATGATGGTCGATACTTGATCCATCTCTTACTGTTACATCCCCGGGCAACGCCGGGCTCTACTGCTAGTTTTGTATAGTTTACATGTTGTCCGCCGTTTTCTTTTTATTATTTATTTTATCACACAGCTGAAGCTTATCTTCTGGGGATTATGCTTTTACAGAACTGTATTTAATCTTCGGTTTCCACTTCCTTGTTCACTTACAGAAATTAAATACATTCATACAATAGGAAACCAATCTCCCGCCGTCGTAATGTAGCATCTCTGTGCCCTTTTCTATAAATATTTTCGTGGCAATTTTTCTGATGAGCGTTCTGCTTTGGTAAATCGACATTATGAATTTAACGTAAGTACTAGATTGGCAGTTAGGTCTCATTATTTTACTGCCGAAATTGCTTGTTGTAATCGTAAGTTCTGTGTTAACTGTTTCTTTTCTCGGACTTCTTGTTTTCTGGGTCACCAGGAACCTCTTTTCGTCACTGTCAAACGGAGAGAAATGGCGTGGTTTTGACGACAGCCTATGCAAGACCATCATGCAAGGCACCGTTGAAGGTGGACGTAGGAGAGGACGCCAACTCAAAAACTGGTTGGACAATGTCAAACAATAGACAAGTATGACTATACCAGAATTGCTGATGGCTGCCGTCGATAGACGTTACGGTGGAGTAATGGGTAGCGGCTCGGAATCGGAGAGTCGAGTTCGAATTCCAATCGAAACCATTACATTCACTTACGTGCTAATAGCTATGGGTAAATAGCAGGACAGACCGGGTTCTATAGCCTTGGATGGCAAATGGTCTGTCGCAGAAAGAAATGGCAACCTACGGCAGGATTATGTTAAAGATGTCGTGACATCACTGATCTAAATCAAAATGATCACTGATAACATTGCCACCATCTTGATGTGTTTCGTGCAACTAATGGTGTCCATACAGAGCAATATTAAATTAGTTAAAAAGACTTCCATATCTATTCCTCATTTTGTAATAATTTTCACATATTTCTCTGTTCATTTTCTTTTGTAATATTTGTTTTTAAATTGTAAAGAGACTTTAAGGACACCCTGTATATTTTTAGACTCGGTTTTCCATGATTTATGCGCCGATAAGAACTGTTTTCCTGATCGCTGTTTTTCGTCATTCGTCCAATATTGCCAGACATAACATCAATTTTCATACGTTTCGCTTGTGTCATATATCTTGACATTTGAACCCCACTAGATTTTTATTTTATCAGCTTTGAACTTTTCCCATAATCAAGTTCTGTTTATTTTATTTTAATTTTTTTTTTTCATAGCTGTTTCATGTCAGACTCTGAGTATAGCCAGCCTTGCGAACTTTTTGAAAAGACTGTGGGAGGTGATGATCGACAGATTACCTCCATGAGGCCACCGAGTTCAGCTTCAGATGAGATCCATGAATTTTACATTTTCAAATTTAAAAAAAAAAAAGTCTTCAACGACGGTTGGGTGCAGTGTTACGAAAACATGGTATGAGTATTTTCAACCTTTTACTGTTTCTGTTTTCACCGTTTTCTTGCTTGAATAAGGTAGTCGGTCTCATATCAGAATTTCACGATGTCATAAAAATACTTACCTTTTTTTTCTACTGTCTCTTTCGAATTAATACCGGCAAACATGTATAAACGTGTCAGCAAAAGGACGTAGCGTCAAAAGGACGGTTTTTCCCATGACACCGCTTGTAACTACCTTCACTCCTCGACAATGTTTATTGTTTTAAAAGCGATGATTAGAACTGGAATAAAACCCTAAACATATGAATAAATAAAGTATAAAATTTATAAAGTGAATTTATATATTTTCCCGTCCTGGCTATAATGATAAACTACATCCGCGTCCTGGGTAAGACGATAAACTACGTCCAACAGCAAGGCCTCTGTTCAGGAGGTCTTGAGGAGCGTGGAACCACCTCTTAATTGCTGGTGCTCCCAGGTCCACCCTGCCCCGGGATGGTAGCACCTGTTAGGATCCCAGCTATAGGCAAATAGTTAACCCCGAAACTGAGGTAAAAAGCATTATAAAAGTGTAAAAATAGGTTTTAATACCAGAAATACTTTGTAAAAAATTATTACCAGAAATAAATATTTGAAGAAAAATAAAAAATATTACCAGCAATACGTTTTTGAAAACAAAAACTATTACCAGCAATATGTTTTTGGAAAAAAATATTACCAGCTATACGTTTTGGCAAAAATAATATTACAGTGTAACCCGGATATAAGAGACCCGGATATAAGAGAAACCCGGATATAAGATAGATTTTCTCTGGTCCCAAAGTGTTCCCATACTTACCTAAACAAAATAGACCAAACCCGGATAAACGAGACTTCTTCTCCGGTCCCGACAACTCTCGTATATCCGGGTTACACTGTATCAACCATACGTTTTTGAAAAAACAATATTACCAGCTATACATTTTTGGAGGAAAAAATATTAGCAGAAATAGATTTTTATTTATTTATTAAATTGTTTATTTACACTATTTATTTATTATATTAATTATGGCAATTATTGGTAAAACATCGACAAATTGCCAATTGATTCGAACTTTATAAAATGGTAAATAATAAGGATTTTCTTATGTTTGGTTCGCGTATTTTTATAATTTCATAAAAGTCTAAAAATTTATGAATAAAAATTGGTTTCATATTTATTCCTTTATAAATTGGTAAATGATAAATATTTCATTAGTTTTAATTGTATTAGTTGTTAGAATATTGTAAATATAAAATTATAAATAAAAATCTAATAAATAAATAGTGTTTATTATTTTTGGTCTCAATACTCAAGAACAAAGAAAATGTATAAATTCACTTTCATATGTGAAAAAAAATAAATAACAATAAAATTTATCAAGGAGTGAAGGTTTGTCATACGAGCTAAAGATGTTGTTCTTGATAACTGACAACAAAAATCATAAACAATATTTATTTATTATATTCTTTATTGGAATGGTTGGAAAAACATCGGCTAATTGCTAATTGATTCGAACTTTATAAAATGGTAAATAATAATGATTACTTGTAGTTGGTTCACATATTTAAATAATTTAGCGAATATTATAAACATCAAAACATATGATGAAAGTGAATTTATAAATTTTCTTTTGTTCTTGAAATTTTACAGTTATTTATTTGATTGTTTATTTTCAGGAGTAATTTTATATTTACTGTTAAAATATATAGGAATAAAGTGTCGCTGCCGACACTTGAGTTTGAACATAGATCGTCAGTGAGCAAACACAGGCGATCCCATTATTGAATTAAGTAGACCATATGATCATAGAGGAAACGCATATATGGGAGGTAGCGTGTGTCTATTTGATCGCCATTTCTATTCTATCCTCTATTACTATTCGGATCGTTATTTCTATTCTATCCTCTATCACAAACCTATTTCTCTATTCGGATCACTATTTGGTGGTTATTATTCAAGTGAGTATTATCGAGCAAGTACTATTAGTGCGAGTGTTATTCGAAGGCGTCTGACACCAGTATTGTTCAACAGCGTTACTATGGTTGTATCTGCAATTACAAAGTCTCTACTACAACGATCATTACGAAAGTAACAACGAGTATTCGTTGATCACAAAAGTGGCAACGAGTGTTCAAAACAAACTTTATAAGTTTATGAATAACTTATAAAGTTTATAAGTTTATGAATAAATTTGTTTTCGAATTTAATTTGATTTTAATGTGGTAAATATAAAATTATTCCTGAAAATAAACAATCTAATAAATAATTGTAAAATCTCAAGAAAAAAAGAAAATTTATTAATTCATTTTCATCATATGTTCTAGTTTTATTACTATTCTTAAAATCGCCTTTTAAAACAATAAATATTGACGAAGAGTGAAAAAAAAAAGGTGGTGTCATGGGAAAAAACGTCCTTTTGACATTACGACTTATTGTGGGCACGTTTATATGCACATGTTTGCCGTGATAGTCTTACTAAAGGAAAAAAAAGAAGAAAAAAAAGGAGAAAAGAAAAAGAAAAAAAGAAAGAAAAAAGAAAAAAGAAAAAGAAAAGAAAAAGAAAAAATAAAGGAAAAAGAAAAAGAAAAAAGAAAAAGAAAAGAAAAAAGAAAAAAAAAAGAAAAATAAAGAAAAAATAAAGGAAAAAGAAAAAAGAAAAAAGAAAAAATAAAGGGAAAAGAAAAAGAAAAAGAAAAGAAAAAGAAAAAAGAGAAAAAGAAAAGGAAAAATGAAAAAGAAAGGAAAAAATAAAGAAAAAAGAAAAAATAAAGGAAAAAGAAAATAGAAAAAAGAAAAAAGAAAAAGAAAAGAAAAAAAGAAAAAAGAGAAAAAGAAAAGGAAAAATGAAAAAAGAAAGGAAAAAAGAAAAAGAAAAATAAAGAAAAAAGAAAAAAGAAAAAAAGGAAAAAAGAAAAAAAAAGAAAAAATGAACAAAAAGGAAAAAAGAAAAAAAAAAAAAAAAAAAAGAAAAAAAAAAAAGAAAAAAGATACTGATGACAAACGATAGTATCAAAAATCCGTACTGTATTCCATTTACGCGCTCAGTTCAAATTTCCTTAAAATTTGGGCACCATCCCGTAGGTCCATCTTCACG